CCCTCCTCTCTGTTATTGAGCCCTTCACCCCCTTCAATGTCCTCCTCATCATTTTCATCTCTCTCATTTCTGTTACCTGGCCCTTCATCCCATTGCATGCCATCCACTTCCTCATATCCCCTAAATAGATGTGACACGACACAACGATTCGTCCTCTCTTTCAGTAAAGCTATGTCCCTTCTCACTTCCTGCTCAAAATGAGGACCTAAACAGTGGTCCAAATTTTTTTCCATCCGTATGACCTTTAACTCAAGGACGTCCTTTTCCCGCTTTACTTGAAACAACTCGGACCTCAACAAGCTTATACCGCCTTGTTCAACTCATCAAGGTCAGCACATGAAGAAGGAATTGACTCTGCCGAGAAAACAGCAGAGCGATCCTGTGGCCGACTCCAATATGGTTGTCTCATTTCCTCTTCACTTGGACATAGCGCCCACAACTGAACTGATTGTTTCAGAAAACAGACAAGAGTCATATGCAATCATTCTACTTCATAATTTCATTAAATCTTATAAATAGTTCAAAGGGCTGCAAACCAAACCTCTTTACTCTGGAAAAAATAATTGTTCAACTTTCTCATCTCGGGAACAGACGTAGTAGTTCTCTATCGCAAAATACGCGGGAGAGCTGTCGGATCAACAACCTTGCAGTAATTCAGGTCCGCCATTCTAGGAATTAATTCATATACCCAAATCTACACAATTCACAGGACACAAGTTATTATTTAAGTTTTAAAGTCAACAAAACATAACGACATGAACATTATTACCATGTACCTGGAAAGCATACGTGAAACCTTTAAAACTCCAGCCACCCCTTTGCACTTCACCATGGTTATCCTTCTTGCCCTTCTCATTTCTCCGGCTTGTTCCGGTTACCTTACATTTCCCCTTCCCTCTTCCCTCTTCATTTTCAAAGCTTTTCACATACTTTGTTGGTGCAGAAAACAGACTGTCTTGGGTTTTGTCAAACGACACCGAACCCCATGGAAACCTGTTGAACGCATCCAAGTCCTCTACAAGGGTCAGGTAATTTAGATTGATATTCAAATGTTTGTCCCTTCCCAAAACCACTAACTCAGCAAAGTAAACAAGAGCTAGCTTGTAGACGTCATCT